AATTATTGATTGGCTGCCTCTGTACGCCCCACACTGGGAATCGAGCCTGCAACCCAGGCATGTGCCCTGACCCAGAATTGAACCACAACCTCCTGGTTCACAGGTCAGTGCTCAACTACTGAGCCACACCGGCTGGGCAGGCCACTGGTCTTTAGTTTACTTTTATTTGCTTGCAGCTGAATCAAATCTGAAGGGATTCATATTTCAATCTTTAATAAACTGTGTCGTCTTTATCTATATTTCTGTGTATATTAGGTCATTGGCAGACCTCTATCTTCTCTTTCTAGGTTTTAAAGTGGTTGCTTATATCCACATTATGGCCATCATTCCACAGTTGCAAGGCAATTTTGCATAGGTGATGTCTAGTTATCCTATTAAGAACTCTTTAGAAAAAATTAGCAGATTTACTGATAAAACACTGTTGACTCAATCTCAGTAGATTTAGGAAGGCTTTTGTTTTGTTTTGTGTGTTTGTTTGTGTATATTAGGTGAAGGTACCATGGTTTTAGGTGAAATAGTTGGACTTTGTAAGACTTGTGGATGAAGTTTTGTGAAACTTGGCAGAATCTCCCCCTGCATAGGCAAAATTCTATCACCACTGTTAATCTAAATATAAAAAGCCAAAGTGAGAGGCTTGTTAGTGTTTGAGATAAAAAAGAATTGCCATCCAGAGGAATTGATTCAGGAACAAACCCAAATCATGCCTTGATTATGGGATGAAGGCAAGGGATTTTATAAGAAAGAGAAGGAAAATAATTGCATGAATTCAAGGATGAAATTTCTATTGGTACTGATAAGCTAAGTGATTCTATTCTTTAGCTATACATGACTGTTTAATGATTCTCAAGAATTCACATAATTTTTAGTCCTTATAATCAGGATGTCTGCTTTTCCTGGTTGCTTTCCAAACAGTTGTTTAAAATACAGTGTTGGCTTGACCAAATCAAAGGTTATTCTGCCCAGGTCAAACATTCCAAGGATTTAAGAAGTAAGGCATTCAAGGCAGTTCCTCTGGAATTGGAAATGGCTCCTTTTTAAAATAGCCCCACTTATGCCAACTTTTCATATCACACTCCTTGGGGAATTGACTTAAGAAGCTGTGTCACATAATATTTATCATGGAATATTTACCATTCAATTTCTCTGGTGACATTTTTGCTGTCATTGTTGCATCCTATTGGGAAAATATAATTTAATAATTTTTTTCTCCCAACCCAGAAAACTTCTCCTCAAAGGTAGTAGAGAAAGAAAACAGTTTTATCCTATACTAGAGGCCCAGTGCATGAAATTCGTGCATGGGTATATATGTGTGTGTGTGTGTGTGTGTGTGTGTGTGTGTGTGTCCGTGTCCCTCAGCCTGGCCTGTGCCCTCCGCAGTCTGGGACCCCTCAAGGGATGTCCGATTGCCTTGGATATGGGAGAGGTTCTCACCACTGCCGCTGCATTGCCAGCCATGAACCTGGCTCAGGGCTTCTGGCTGAGTGGCACTCTCCCTGTGGGAGTAGCTGCAGATCTGGTCAACCCCAACTGCCCTCCCCTGCAGGTCTGATTGCCCACAACTGCCCTCCACTGCAGGTCATCTTATGGCAGCCATCTTGTAGCCACATGGGGGCAGCCATCTTGTGTGTTGGAGTGATGGTCAATTTGCATACTGGTCATGACTAATTAGCATATCTGGGTGAATTAGCATATCCCTCTCTTATTATATAGGATAATAAAAGGCTAATATGCAAATTGTTCCCTCAGGAGTTCGACTGCTACTGTGACATGCACTGACCACCAGGGGGCAGCATGGAATGAAGGAAGGCCCCGGCCAGCAGCTGGCAGCCGTCAGCTGGGGGACAGAAGGTCCTGATTGGCCCTGATCGCCAGCCAGGCCTAGGGAACCTACCTGTGCATGAATTTCGTGCACCAGGCCTCTAGTTATTGAATAAGCATTAATCCAGAATGAGATGCTCATCAGGGGCAATTGCCCCAAAGCAGAAAGGAATCTCATCACTTTATAAAGCTGTCTTAGTGTGTCTAGTCTAAATAGACTATAGATTAAGTGACTTATATGCATCAGAAATGTTTTCACAAAGTTCTGGGAACTGTGAGTGTGGGATCAGTGCTCGCAGAGGGCTAGCTCTGGTGAGAGCCTTCTTATGGGTGCCTAGTGTTGCAGACAGTTCATTGTATTTTCACATGATGCAGAGCACAGAGGATAAGTGAGTTCTGTCATGGGGGCAGTAACCCCATTCAGGAGGGCTGCACACGTTCGACCTTATCTAATCCTAATTATCAGCCAAAGACTCCATCTTTTAATACCATCTCATGGGGGTGGTGGGGTGGTGGTGGTTCAACATTTGAATTTGGGAGGGACAGAGGGACACAAACATTCAATTTATCACAGTAACCAAGTGGGTACAACCCTTTTTACACGTTCTCAATACAAATAATCACTAGTTCTCAAGTAAGAAGACTTGAACATACCATTTGCCATACATTGTTCATCATGATTTTCTGGTATTTGGGGTAACTATCTGTCCACTAATAGGAATTATTCAGAGGAACTTGAACTTTTCATATCTTCATGGCAACTTGGAGCAAGGTGCCAGGAAGTTAGCTACCTAATCTATGGGGTATTTTGTTATGGCAACCTAAATGGACTAAGTTTTATAAGGGGATGAGATTTTTTTTTCATCTCTACTATCTCTTAGCAGATTGTCTGTGATATGCATCCCTTGCTAGTTTAATGCTTATTCAATAATAAGAGTGTTTTCTTTTTTTACTACCTTTGTTGAATTTTCTGGGTTGAATGATTTTTTAAAAATTATATTTCCCCAGTAGGATTCCTGTTTGACAGGACTTTTGCTACTGACTATGAACCCTATTTCTTTTACACACGAAAGAATCCAAGGTAATTATCCATTTCTATTTTGCAATGTAAAATACAGGTGAAATATTGATGAGTCTGGCTCAGCATGCAATTAATCTTAGCTGAATTTACAGAAATCTTGGGGGAACTCAGAAAAGAAGAATCACTTGGCCAGAGTGACATTGCAAAAATTTCAAAACAGGAAGCACTTTCTGTCAAGGAATTAAAGATTACAGCACCCAGTCTATTCTCTATCTTACAAAGGAGAACAGGCATCTTATGCTGGTGTCTACAGGGTGCTAAGGTGGGAAGTCAGTGAGGCAGGCAACTAAAGTTATTTCTAGAAATAAACCATCATTAGAACATAGTTGGCACACCAGTGCCATTCACAGTAGTCAGTTCAGATGGATCCTCCCAGAACAGCAATTTTCAACCCATGTGCTGCAAGAATTTTTAAAAAAATGTAATACCTGACTATTTAGTCAGGGGCCCTGACCTCTTTTCCCTTAGATTGTCAAATAAAAAATGACAACAGCCAACACAACAATAGGCATCAGTGTGAACAAATCAAAATTATACCTATGTTTTCTCAGATTTTTTGTGCCACAGAATTTTAG